CAAAATCACCGAAAGCCAGTATAGATATCTGTATCCCACAGCTGAAAACACCCCGAGAATATACTGCACACCCAAGATCCACAAGCAGGGGAACCCACTGAGGCCTATTGTGGACTACACTGGATCCATTGGTTACAACGTTTCCAGGTCACTAGCAGACATTCTTGGACCGCTAGTGGGGAAATCGGAACATCATGTCAGGAATTCTAAACATCTAGCAGAAGCTATGTCCACCATCATGATCCAAGAGGATGAACAATTTATTTCACATGATGTTGTTTCTCTGTTTACCAATACTCCCATTGATGATGCACTGAAAATCATTCAAAAACGCTTAGAGTCAGACAGATCCTGGCGTAAAAACACAAACCTCCAGATCAAGGACATCATGGATCTGCTAGAATTTGTACTAACCAGAACATATTTCACATTCCGAGGCAACATCTACCAGCAACGCTTTGGAACTGCTATGGGGAGTCCAGTGTCGCCTATTGTCGCCAATCTGTTCATGGAACATCTAGAACAACAAGCAATAGCCACTGCCCCCATAGATTGCAAGCCAAGCCTATGGAAACGATATGTCGATGACATTTTAGAAATAATCAAGAAGGGATCACAGAAAGATCTAACTAACCACATAAACACTATTGACACCACTAACAACATCAAGTTTACATGTGAGGAAGAAACCAATTGCGGAATGCCCTTCCTAGACACACTTATAGCCAGAAGAGAAGATGGAACAGTGAAGTTATTGGTCTACAGGAAAAAGACCCACACAGACCAATACCTCAACTTTGAATCCCACCACCCTTTACATCAGAAGTTAGGGGTCGTACGCACGTTGCTCAATCGATGTGAGACCATAGTCACAGAACAACAGGACAAAATTCAAGAGCAGAGCCACATCATGAAAGCAATGAAAAATTGTGAATATCCGGAATGGGCCCTTAAACGGGTACAAAAACAGTGTCAAAATAAAGGAAAAAACAGAAAAAGACCTATGAAAGATCAAAACAAAACAAAAATCCAGGTGATCATCCCATATATAAAGGGTATATCTGAAACCATCCAAAGGATATACCGCAACCATGGCATAGCAACAGCCATGAAGCCCCACAAGACGCTTCGAAATACCCTAGTCCACCCTAAGGATAAGATAACCAAAGAGAATGTCGCAGAATGCATATACAAGATCGGGTGCAAAAACTGTGACGCGTCATATATTGGAGAGACTGGAAGGCGATTCGGGGTTCGCCTTGGGGAGCACCGGAAAGACAAGAGGAAAAGAAGTTCACCCGATCAGAGAGGAAGCAGTCGGAGTCCCAGATAAACAAATCGGCAATCACTGACCATGCCATGCAGGAAAACCATGTGATTGACTGGGAAAACTCAAAGGTGCTCGATAGGGAGAACCATCTTCTGAAGCGACAGATCAAAGAAGCCATCTGGATACGCCGCAGCGGGGCAGTTCTGAACCGAGATGAGGGGGCTCATAGACTCTCGCATATCTATGACCAAGTAATAAAATAAGCGTAGCCGAATGGTTTTACTATTCGCTAACAGTCATTTCGGCACTTGTCAGCATGTCCGAAATCGACGCTATTCCACTACAACTCGTACACATATCACACTTTTGTGTACATGCTTTACTGGTCATTTGTCTGAGGAAGGTGACAGCGTACGGATCGTACTGGTCACCGAAACGTCATATATTAAAATTCCTGGTTGTGTATAAAGAATCTTTACATAATACATAGCTGTTCCGTTCACTCTTCATTGGTTATAGCAGTCACAAGTGATGAAACGTAAGAAGTGACTGAGAAAATAAAAATTGCTGAAATTAATGTCAAATGAGGAGGTGCCCTTATCCATAATAAAATAAATTTATAATTTCAACTTCAAAACATTTTAACATATATATTCATTCTAAGCGGTGCCGCTATCCAAATAAATCAATCGCGGCATGCAGAGTACAGCAAACTGTGGGAACCCAATTGTACCAGCAGAGTCTTCCACCTTTAATGTTAAAAGAGTGTACAAAAGACGCATCAGTGGGCTATGGTACATAAAAGTCTATATTTCAGTCTCAAATAGAACAAAAATGTAGAACACTTAAATCGTTTACTTAAACTGACAATTCTATTTTTGTTCAAAAGTATTTAAATACTGTTTTCTCATGACACCTCATTTTTTCGTAAAGAAAAAGATTCAAATGACGGAAAAAATATTTCTTGGAGATACAACTGTTAGCATTATCATTCCTATAGCTGCAAAGATAACAGGAAACAGTTCATTACCTTATCATGTACGCACTATAAGCTCAAGTTCTCACTCCAGCCATTTGACAGAGAAAAAAAACCTGTTTTGTGACGGAATTAGATTTAAAAAAACAGCCATGTATGACAGGAGAGATAAGGAGTTGATTCATCTTCACTTAAAACGAGATTTGGACAAACATTCGTTTACTTCGGGGATAGTTTACATATATTGTGATATGTAATTAAATTCAATTTGTTCAATCAAACAAATCATAACATTTTGACATATTCAGATATTGTCATTATATTACTTATTATTTCACGCATCGGTGAAGCGATGGCAGTGTGGTTCAGGCGTCTTAACGTCTTTATTACAAGTTAAATTATCCTAGACAAACAGCAACGATAAACCAAACAGTTATATTGTGCGCATTTCTGTACATAGTATGACAAAGTGGAAATTCCAATTGGCATCGTGCCAACCTTGTGCTCCACTGTTTGTGACTATTTCTGCTCCACTGATCAATATCGATAATCTTTTCTCTCTATATATACACACTCACATATGAATACAGGTAACATTTAAAGGATACGGACTTTGTGTAACGAGATGTATGTTTCTAATGCACTACTATCATGCCTAGTAGTTTGATATAATTAACAGAGTCAATATCATTTGCAGTACAGTCGTTTTCATGGTATGGATTTTGATCACAAAACATGGAAGCAAACTTCAACCTCACCAATCCTTAGCGGGATTTCTTACTTCGTTCGTGAATAGGTAAGTATGTTCTGTATATAATCCTCATTACACCTCATATTGTAGAAAAGAAAAAAAATCAAATGACAGAAAGAATATTTCTTGGTGATACAACTGTTTGCATTATCAATCCTTAAACTGCAAAGATAACCGGACACATTTCATAACCTTATCATATTTTTCAATTGCACATGTGCAAACGATAAACTCAGGTTCTCACTCCAGCCATTTGACAGAGAAAAATGAAACTTGTTTTTTTGACGGAATTTTTATAAAAAACAAAACGGCCATGTATAACAGCAGAGATAAGGAGTTGATTCATTTTGATTTAAAACGAGATTTGGACAAACATTCGTTTACTTCGGGGATAGTTTACATATATTGTGATATGTAATTAAATTCAATCTATTCAATCAAACAAATCATAACATTTTGACATATTCAGATATTGTCATTATATTACTTATTATTTCACGCATCGGTGAAGCGATGGCAGTGTGGTTCAGGCGTCTGAACGTCTTTATCACAAGTTAAATTACCCTGGATAAACAGCAACGATAAACCAAACAGTTATATTCTGCGCATTTCTGTATATAGAATGACAAAGTGGAAATTCCAATTGGCATCGTGCCAACCTTGTGCTCCACTGTTTGTGACTGTTTCTGCTTCGCTGATCAATACCGATAATCTTTTCTCTCTATATATATATATTTATATACACACTCACATATGAATAAAGGTCACCTTTAAAGGATACGGACTTTGTGTAACTAGATGTATGTTTCTAATGCACTGCCATCATGCCAAGTTTTGATCACAAACCTGGAGAAATATTTCAACCCCACCAAACCGGAAATATCTTACTTCGTTCGTGAATATTCTGTATATATTGCTACAGGTAATACAATCCTGATCCCATTGAGGTTACACTTACATTACCCTAAGTTAGTAGCATTGATCCACACTCTTGCATTACTTTCGATTTATCTGGCAGTAACTTTCAATAAGCGTACGTGTACCACCTCTAAGTCTAGAATGACGAGGGGTTTTAAAGAATGTTATCGCTTAGCCAAGAATGGTGAGGATAACAAAGAATGCCAACGCTAAGTCCACAATGATAATGGCGAGGGAAGAATAAGAAAGAAATCGACGTAACTATTGTGAATCAGTAGGAAAGATCATTGTTTAACAAAGGATTGTTCTATACCCCCTTCCCCGTTTCCATTAAAATATCTCTCGAACATTACATGACCTTATGACGAAAAGTATAGGATATATTGTATACTCACACTTTGTTTAAGAGAATACATCATAAAAGACGATAGCAATGTAAAGCGAAAACTGTAAAGAGTGAGGAAAGCATTTTCCCAGGTTAAATATTACTATAAATATAGGTGATTTGACAATAAATTGGGGTTTTATACAGGCGTTGGCGCATTGCTCATCCTGAAACGTCAAATAAAAGGGATATGAGGAACTGTCAATATGTAGGATCAATGTGCAAATGATAAGCATGACATGTGAAGTACATTTACTAGGTTATATGTGTAAAGTCGGAAAACTGAAACTTAAGAAAAAACTAAACAAAGGAATGTTAAACAATAAGACAGACATAAAAACAGTGTCATTTGCAATGTCAAATTTCTGATATCGCTAAATTACACCTGCAGAGATCCTTTTTAGAGACCACAAAGTTGAAATTAAATTTTTTTGGAAGATCAAGTTATTTTGAAATCAAACTTAAAGCTTGACTTATTGAAGCGTGAAAAGAGGCGCGCTTATAAAACTAATTTCTGTCCAATGTATAATATAATATGACAAAGGCTAATTATGATATCTGTATTCCATGCTATTATATATAGAACTGCTTTTTTTACCAAATATAAGATGTATAAAACATTGACATTTAGACCAGGTCTTTTATGAGAAGGAAACTCATGACGTTAATTATATTTCCTATATCTCATACAGAACTTAAAATGGATAGAAGATCGGACTTGGAGGCCACGTCTAGGTCGATATCCCAACGCCTTGATGCGCTCATTGGTACTGAGGAAGAGGTAAGCATCCGAAGACAAATGATCCTCTTTACAGATTATCTCCTCAGTGGAGACAGTGACTACTCCCATACTATATCTACTGGGAGTTTCGCTGACGGATTTTCCATTCCTGGATCAGATACGGATATGATGTGTGTCGTGCGAAATGTGAAGGTAATATGTCCAAGGACTTATACCGCATCACCTCCAGGCAGAAACGAAACCAATTCCATCTTGGTAATGAGAAACGTGGATGGCAGACCAGGATATGTGACGTTGGAACTCGCACATCGTGAACACCCGACGGAGGCATTGAAAAGTGCCATGGTTCTTAAAGAAGGTGTTATAATGATTTCAAGCGATATGTATCGACAGTACCTAGTTGATTTCTCAAGCAAGCAAGAAGGATTATCTCTTATATCAAACGGACCATGTCAGTCATTTCAGAATGACAGTGTTCACATTAATTTTGATATAGCAGAGTCATTTGCATGCCATGTATGGCCGGAAGTAGCCGAAGAATGGAAACAACGACCAAAAACTCACGGATGGCCCGATTCAATCATAACTGACAAAATTATTCAGGGTGGCTGCCATATTCTTCCTGTTGGAGATAAGACTTCACCGGATACATTTCTACAATGGAGAATATCGTTTGTTACAGCAGAAAGATTGCTAGTACATTCATTCAGACACTTACAGTTTAAGGTGTATGGATTACTTAAATATTTTCTGAAAGACGTTCGGAAACATCTATGTTCCGTTGGTGTCAATGATGATATTGTAACTTCGTACTTTATGAAAACTCTGATCTTCCATGTATTAGAAACAACACCAAAAACCTTATGGCAAGACAAAAACACTTTAGTTTGTTTTCTTGTCTGCTTGAGAGTTCTGATAGACTGGCTAAGATCCGGATATTGTCCCCATTATTTTATCCCAACCAACAACTTGTTCAAAAGGCACATACATGGCGACAACAGAAGAAAACTTCTTGATATAGTGGTAGATTTCCATGACCGACAATATTTATCGTTTCTTCATAAAATATGTCCCGGTATTCAAGACTCCGTTGCTTCAGATTATCTACGTCTGGAATGTAACCGTGATCAAACACTGTTTAGAGAATGCAGTCACTGTATTGATTTTATCGGTGGAGATCCTAAGAGGATCAACAAATCGAATAAGATTCTGATGGCCGCTCAGTCAGAAGCTAGTGTTTTCGGAGCATTCTACGCAACAACTTACATGTTGTCAAGTACAGCTAGGCGTACGTTTCCCATGCACGCCAATCTTCCAAACAATAAAACAAAGTACGCTGTTTTGAGGATGTGCAAGACCTTCCTGTTATATTATGACTTGATATGTTCTGCACCTTTGCAGCTTGCAACCCTTTTCTTCCTGTTGGGGAATTTTAGAAAATCGTTGTCACTTTGTGAAGACACAATATCCTCGCATAAAGACACGATTTGTATGAGTTCAGAAAAAGACTTAGCAAAATATAAACAGTTATACTGTGGAAAAAGCTACTCATTGCTTCAGAAATTTAAAGTCAAGAGGTCCGTTGCCATATTTCGTAGAGGCATGTTGGAATTTTCCTTGCCACATATAAGACCAGAGATCAAACAAAATCCGTTCGGTATTCTTATTCCTCAACTTCCCTATGCTGTGTTTCTCGGGTTTCTTTGCTATCATGAGCTAGGAATGATCTCCAAACGCGACGACGCACTACATAAGCTCATTGTCATAAAATACGACGACGAACAAGGAGGAGACCTGCATTGGATTGTATATACATTATTAGGTATCTGCTACCAGATTCTTAGTGACAATCGACGCGCAGTCAGATGTTTCTTAGATTCCTACAGAGTACAGAAAGAATTCAATCCTGCTCTAGAGAGGGTGAAGTTGCTTCGCAACTCATTTTAAACAGACTGTATTTATGAAAACTGACTTTACAAGAAGGGATGCCATATATGCATTTGTTAATTGTTCGTTCCCTTATATGGTTCAATAATCGTTAAATTTCGTGGTTACATTTGAAATATGTCCTTATAAACACATGGTGTTTAAAACGCTGAATATCATGGTCGTACATTATATACATTATATCACATTACATTGTGATTGCATGCGTTGAAAAAAGCGATAAACATCAAGAAAAGACCAGCAGTGTTACGAGTTTGTCTTCAGTTGACGACTTCTTGCAAGAGAATTGTGACTTTGGGAACAAGCCATTTAAGTATTAAAGATTGGCGATTAAGGGATATTGCTACCCAGAAATGGAAAATTCGCAATAGGGAAATTGAAATAATTACGTTTATTGTACATCTTGGTGGAAAGCTGTCAATGTTGATTTCGTTGTAGGAAAAAATCGAGATAAGAAGCTGATATAGAAGAGTCTGTCGTGTCTTTGATTTCCAATCCTGGTGGATACATACATGTTATCCAGACACTCGATCATTGTTATGATTTCGTCGTCCGTATATTTCTTCTTTGATTTTTTTTAAAGAAATACGCTTCAGTCAACAACCATGTATTTATACCCCCGTTCACATTTCTTGCAGAAGAATCCATGCATAATAAGATAACGACAGCGTTTCTTCAGTTTAGAATGGGGTATGTAGATGTTCAGGATGCAAAAATCAAATGTCCTTATAAAAGATATGTTTTGTAGAAGAGGGTGTAACAGATTGGTCCAAAGCTCTTTGGAGTTCTTCAGAATCCACATTCTGTTCATTCCGCTTCTTGAGAAAACAATAAAACTGTAGCCCAGATTTGATAGTATTTAGAATGGTGGTTAGTAGTTTTGACAAAGGCTTGTTTGTATGGATTCTTGTGAAGTTTAGGGATTCAATATAAACGAGGGGGGTTCTCATCCCTATCATTAATAGGCAATCTAAATCATTATATTATCCAAACATGATTAGATAGTAATTCGTCTTCTGAAAGATTACATAATGTATAGGTGGGGTTTCCTTCGATATCAAGCAAGCCCAGTCTTTTTGTACGCGGGGATGTAATAATGTGTGCAGACAAGGAGCAAGTTATTAGACGCCTTATCTGTAGGCACAATTACATACTTGTCATGTAAATCTTGAAGTGTAAATGTAACATCAAGGTCGAGGAAAGCTGGCCTGTGTTTTGTTTTCCTCTACAAGCTGCACATTCCTTTACGAATGACGGACCGAATTTATTTAACCCACTTAGAATGTGAATCCAAAGTTGCATGTTCTCGTTTTGCCCGACACATCAACATACTTCTAACCTAAAGTCAAATTCAATCAAACTAGGGCAAAATATTAACACAATAAAGAGTTACACGGAGGCCCTGAAAAAGTACAAGGAGGAAAAGACCACACGTTCCAGAATAGAAAGCGTTGATAGACGGTCAGGTACATATTTGACCTCTTATATTTTTAAGGTAAATTATAAAGTTACTGCATGCTCTAAGTTACCTGAAAATAATATGGCAAATACAACATAACCTTCCGGTTGGATGGACCCTAACCCTATTAGTAAATATCGATTCCGATTCCTTCACGAAGATTAAGATATACCTTGTTTGAAAACTGGCTGACGACTTCATGAAATCATTTAGACAGCGATAACATACGAATGATAGTATTCCAGTAACCCAATATTTCCTGGAATTTGGTTTTATCAACAAAGGTTAGGTACCGTTTTTATCAATATTTGTACCATCCTACATCTTTTTCTTTATGTATGTTACTTTTATTCACATTCATGCAGCTGTGGTTCATCTCGTGGTGTGGTTTAATTCATTCTTTAGAACCACTTGAGCTTTCCATAGGTCATCGTCTGATTTGATTCCCTGACAAGTCTAAGCCAGAGGGAAGGCAAAAAATTGCGATGAATTGACTTCCATTGTAGGAGTTCATAGGTCAGATTTTCTTATTTCATGTCAAGACTACACTATAAGATTGCATGATTGGTTTGTAATTAAATCCGCATTTAAACCAATAATAAAAAACATTACAGAGTACAGTATATTGATAATATAAAATATTCCTTTATAAGTGTATCAAGTGTATAAAGAATCGCATGTCACTTTTAATCTTTCATGGTGATCATTATCATTTCTAATTATTTAATCTAATACATAAGCTTTTTGCTGACGACGAATTATTTCATATCATTTACAAGATTTCCATCTCTTATGCCTGGGACTCGAGTTGATAGCAATACAGCATGACATGTTGTTAATATGAATGTTAAATTTTATAATTCAGTCTCATTTCTGTGTCGTCTTCTTGTCCGATTTTCTAATTGTTTAAGTTATACATTTTTGCATTTGATGGTTCATAGTTTGTCCGATATTTTAGATAATTTATCTATCTATAGAAGCGGCTATGCTGTTAGATCTATGTAATTACCGACGTAGAACATTTAGAGGATTTTAACAATACCTTCTAATTAAATAGTAACATCTACAATGCACGTATACGTTTTTTTATCTCATTCTTTTTAATTGAGAAACACAAAATTACTCTAACTGTTATCACTAGTCAATCACCGAAATTTACAAAAATATATATATGTAGATATGATTTTTTCTAGCGAACTAAACTGTTACGAGATAAGAGACAACATACGAGGTTCCTCTGACAGCGTGCCGTCAGCTTGACTGTAACAATGAAACTGAATTACTTTGTATTCAACATGTACAAAATTGAATATATTTTTTTTTCTATTTGAAATATACGAAGAATGCTGTATGAAATTTCTCTTGCCTGCTATTCTACACCACCCTAGGTGTAAACGTATTCTACACTACCCTAGGTGTAAACGTATTCTACACTACCCTAGGTGTAAACGTATTCTACACTACCCTAGGTGTAAAGGTATTCTACACTACCCTAGGTGTAAACGTATTCTACACTACCCTAGGTGTAAACGTATTCTACACTACCCTAGGTGTAAAGGTATTCTACACTACCCTAGGTGTAAACGTATTCTACACTACCCTAGGTGTAAAGGTATTCTACACTACCCTAGGTGTAAACGTATTCTACACTACCCTAGGTGTAAACGTATTCTACACTACCCTAGGTGTAAACGTATTCTACACTACCCTAGGTGTAAAGCTATTCTATACTACCCTAGGTGTAAACGTATTCTACACTACCCTAGGTGTAAAGGTATTCTACACTACCCTAGGTGTAAACGTATTCTACACTACCCTAGGTGTAAAGCTATTCTACACTACCCTAGGTGTAAACGTATTCTACACCACCCTAGGTGTAAACGTATTCTACACTACCCTAGGTGTAAACGTATTCTACACCACCCTAGGTGTAAACGTATTCTACACTACCCTAGGTGTAAACGTATTCTACACTACCCTAGGTGTAAAGCTATTCTACACCACCCTAGGTGTAAAGCTATTCTACACTACCCTAGGTGTAAACGCTTCAGTCTTATTATATCAGCCAATTAGTGATGCTTTATCAAAAACATACGAAAAGAGTTATCCTTCCTCATGAAACATGATATAGAAAGCCAACCTTTGGATGGTTATTTTATTTTACTGGAAGAGCATACGTACAATAGTGTTGTATATCTTATTAACAAAGGAAAATACACATTCCTGTTCCATTGTTTTGTAGTATTCAATCTTAATATCAATCATGACTGTAGATACCAACAATAAATCAATGTTTTGTAAAATCAGAATCAGTAAAATAAACAACTTTAAACCAAAAAAAAACTGCATTACAATGTCTTTTGTGAAATATATTTACTTTTATTAATCATAAATTTCGATAACATTACACATGCACATCCTATTTTGATTCATGAACTTACATTTATGTGATAACAAACCACTGTGTTACAGATATAAGTGAAGAAAAGTAATGCTCGTGCAGTTTATCGGCAATGATAAAAGTCATTCAAACATGTATGTACATGTATAACAATATAGAATAACGTATCCACACACACAATGAATTATAAAATTATTTACCATGGCATTTTCCGTTTATAGCGATATCATAATACTTAAAAGGAATATCAAGTTATACGTTCATAACATTTAATCTTTATTTACTTTATAAACAGAACATCTTGTTCATTAAAAGCAAAAAGGAAAATTTGTCAAATAAATGAAACGTTTTACACAAATAATTTTCCCGACCAACATGAAATGATTAATATGACGAAGGATCATTAAAATATAAAGCACTTTTTTGATCACGAGATAAGGGCGACCATTCCGGAATGTAATTCTTGTGTGACATCAGACACGCAGTTAGTTGTGGATTTAAATACAATGCAACAGGATTATCATATAAAAAGGCACAGAAGATGCTAAAGTACTATCGAGTAGTTTCGTATGACTGAAATTCAGGCGTATTACAAAAATGCTTTTCGTAGTCACTTCATTTCAATGATACTGAAAATTTCATATTCGTGAACAAGTTTAACAACGAAAGTAACAAACACACCAAAATAAAGATTTTAAATGACAAGACTCCCACGAAAATAACAAATACACCAAAATAAAGATTTTAAGTGACATGACTCTCATTGTCCGACGGACTAATATTCGCTGCAGCTTTGATTTATTGACCAAGGCAGATTTATCACATATAATATTACTAAAAGCAAGGGAGTTAACTCGTATTGACTTGAAAAGTAGCATAAGCATCCACAAGCCAACAACTCCAGAAGACAAGCACTGGCTAAATACACAAGATCTGCATTTTCACGGAAGAGTAACATATTGTCAGTTGATTTTGTCTAAATCTTGTATCAGATTTCTAAAAACGGGAGTATATAAACCTGTTACATTAACAAAATATTCTTATTATTTGCTCTTATATTTTATCTAAATTTTAAAATTAATTTTGAAATATGCACGACAATAACCGGTTTCAATAGTATTTCATTTATGATGACATTCAATACATTGTCACCATGATATGGTGTATAAGGATCTTGTCTATGTTTTATCGGATTCAGTTATCTTTTAGGATTATAATTATTTTATTATTTTTTTCTATTTTATTTTATTATTTTTTTTTTTTTCTTTTTTTTTTTTTTTATGAGAGGGGTTTTATTATTTTATCTTATTATTAAGTGACTCTTGAAGAATAACAAGTTGGTATGGAAGTTTTGAAATATATTTGATTCATGGAGGTAAGATTTTTCATTCGATCTGATAACTCCATGCATCATTGAAAATGTAAACTAAAGATATGACAACCGATTCACACATTCTGATTTTCTTTTTTTACTTTTTCGGTCTTGGAACATTTTCTACAAACGTGCCGACTAGATTTCCGGCTGGGTAATAGCTCGCAACAACAAGAACCTTTCCACCTGAACTCTTTGCTTTGCCGATTCCCATTTTTTTACTTCCTTTCCATACAACCTGCGTGAAATGTCCTGCGAACCAAAAACATTTATTTAATAACATATGACCCTGTCTTTATACATAAATGTACAGGGTTAATCTTTACAGTGCGTTATAATATCACTAGTTAACAATGTGATTAATTCATTTATCTATTTATTCATTTATTTATTCGTTACATCAAACTGAGTTTAACACAAGTCTTTTCAGCTAATATGTGTGAAACAAGCATAGTTACAGAAATGTACGATTCACCTGATCGCACGCCTTGTAGATCATTTATCAAGTATATTATTTAACACACTGGACCCCGATGCCCACGTCCAACCCACGTGATTATATTTGAAATCTGAGATCACATATTTATTATCGGACGATAGACACATATAAAATCTTACTCCAGCAACTTTCACTGATGAATGGAAATTTACAGCCCACGTCTCACACAACTTGTAATACCGATCCAAAGCAAGCGTCTAATACTATTTACCCTATCCTAATGTCCTTGTTTCAGATAACGTGTAACAGAGATATAAATCAGACCTCTGATACTACTTTCACAACTTATTATACCCTCATCCCAGCGTGACATCAAGTCCCGCCTCACACAACTTATTATACCCTAATCCCAGCGTGACATCAAGTCCCGCCTCACACAACTTATTATACCCTAATCCCAGCGTGACATAAAGTCCCGCCTCACACAACTTATTATACCCTCATCCCAGCGTGACATTAAGTCCCGCCTCACACAACTTATTATACCCTAATCCCAGCGTGACATTAAGTCCCGCCTCACACAACTTATTATACCCTCATCCCAGCGTGACATAAAGTCCCGCCTCACACAACTTATTATACCCTAATCCCAGTGTGATATCAAGTCCCGCCTCATACAACTTATTATACCCTAATCCCAGCGTGATATCAAGTCCCGCCTCATACAACTTATTATACCCTAATCCCAGCGTGATATCAAGTCCCGCCTCACAAAACTTATTATAAACTAATCCCAGCGTGACACCAAGTCCCGCCTCACACAACTTATTATACCCTAATCCCAGCGTGACATAAAGTCCCGTCTCACACAACTTATTATACCCTAATCCCAGCGTGACATAAAGTCCCGTCTCACACAACTTATTATACCCTCATCCCAGCGTGACATAAAGTCCCGCCTCACACAACTTAGTATACCTTAATCCCAGCGTGATATCAAGTCCCGCCTCAAACAACTTATTATAGACTAATTCCAGCGTGACATCAAGTCCCGCCTCACACAACTTATTATACCCTAATCCCAGCGTGATATCAAGTCCCGCCTCAAACAACTTATTATAGACTAATTCCAGCGTGACATCAAGTCCCGCCTCACACAACTTATTGTACCCTAATCCCAGCGTGAATTAAAGTCCCGCCTCACACAACTTATTATACCCTCATCCCAGCGTGACATAAAGTCCCGCCTCACACAACTTATTATACCCTTATCCCAGCGTGACATCAAGTCCCGCCTCACACAACTTATTATACCCTAATCCCAGCGTGACATAAAGTCCCGTCTCACACAACTTATTATACCCTAATCCCACCGTGACATCAAGTCCCGTCTCACACAACTTATTATACCCTAATCCCAGCGTGACATCAAGTCCCGCCTCACACAACTTATTATACCCTTATCCCAGCGTGACATAAAGTCCCGTCTCACACAACTGATTATACCCTAATCTCAGCGTGACATAAAGTCCCTATGTCCAGCGTCTCACATTACTTACCGGATCCTAAAGTGCGCGGTTCACTGCTGAAATCGTGTTTTTCTATCTCGCTGTACCAGTATTCAGTCACGTCCTTCCCTATTAGAACAAAAACGTTTTTATCAAATATCCTCGATTTAGTCTGGACTCTTCGCGAACAGAAGTTTACATTTTAAACATATCAATGAGCCGTTTCTATTAAAGAAGGAAAACATTACGCACTTTGAAAATAATATTTCATATCGCATTAATCACAATTAACACGATTTCAAATATTTTTAAGGTAGGTTGTACCAAACATACATAATTTCTCCGAGAATGGCAAGAACGGTACTGTTCCATGAGAATTTCCGATACAAATCCTAAAGAGATCGGAACAAGACAGCCACAATTCTAGTGCTATGCTTTTAACTTAATACAAAGTAACAAAAGAATGATTCACAAAAAGGACTCGTAATAAAGTGAAAAGAAAGTGTCATCCTTAATCGGCAACGTCCTTCAGTAATAGCTTCTTATCCAACGATTGCCAAAAAGGGCATCAAGAAAATTCCGTCACGTCAACATAATCATAATCCAAACTCAAGTTCCTTAAAAAAAGTACAAGGATAATAAGACGATATGTTCTGTAAGAGTAAGCGTTTTCTGCTTCATCGGCGACATCCACTATATAAACCTTGGTCAATCCATGTAAATAATGGCAAGTTCTCATATGAGAACAAGGTATACAACAATAGAATCAATAGGCAAAATAACGAACGAAACATAATTTTCATCCATAAAATAATAGTAATCAACATGCACCTTTTGAAACCCTGTTCAAGTGATCTTATAAAAGGTTTTAAACTTTACTCACCGGAATAATCCGCCGATCCTGATGACCATTTACAGGCGATATTCTCTCCTAATCTATCTCCCTTATGCTGACACTCACTATGCTGGAATGAGTTGGTCGCGGCGAGATGTTCCGCCCACTTTTGGGCGTATTCTGACAGACTTTTGTCGTGCGATAGAGGAGAAACACCATGCTTTTTTCTGAGTTCGTTGTGTGTTTTCACAGCGTCATCAATAAACTCTTTGATTTTTTGTGGTTTCTTCTCTCGTTCTGGGCTCGAGTCCGACGAACTGCTCGACGATCTCTTGCCTTTTTTGTCCTTTTTAAAGAACTGTAATGGAATACAAGGCATGCTTTTGGATAAAAGGATTTAACAAATGTATTTCTATAGCTGTAATACAAAAGTTCTGTTGAAATATCCTTACATCAACGGATACTGCAGTCACAATACCACGCCTTTTTATAACACAGTATATTGCTACAGGTTAAACTGGTGTATCTGGTAAGTATTCCAACTAGTTTTAGTCCCCGTTCCTATGTGTTGTGGTTCGTTAAGCGCGCGTATGGTAGGAATTACTTATCACGGGAAAGTTTCCAAACTTCTCATATAAACTAATATAGACTATCCCAGACACGGTGTGACCGTTCACTGATGTACTCGTGTCAGAACAGTCGTACACAAATATACTACTGACTCTCTAAACTAAATCTGTCCTATACCAACAATGAATTGCAATAAAGAACACTTTTTCCAATCAATTCTAAGATAAATCACTTCAAGATAGGAAAACATTTTCAAACAACTCGACATTTGTAATTTTCACCACGTCATTTTGTCACAGATACGACTGCAGAGTAATCCATGTGTGGTGCAGATTGCCTCTTTTCACTGTATCAGATTGCCTGCTGTCGAATCTATCAACGCTGAGTCGTATGTCATACTCGTACGTCTAATTACAGACGCGGAATCTGTCCAAAACATACCGGCTACAGCAATTACCAGCGAGATAAGTGTTCCCTTACATTAGATCACTTGTTCCTACTATAATGTACACATATTGTACACATAGACTAATTTCCTATAGTCACGGCTTCGACAGACGCTAAATCGTGCGTGTGAATATATAACATAGTTCATTCTGCAGAAATATCAACGAAGGTTAAATTAGTGACGATATACAAAATTATATTCTATGTTTATACAATTCTCATAAAAGCCATTATCCATAACATAAGTCACACAAACAAGTTTAGGTCTTGAGAACAATGGTATGGTAAATAAACACAGGAATACAACTGACCAGAGAAAGTTATCTCACGTGCACGTCATTAAGCACGTTCCGTTACAACGACACCTTGTGGGTCTCTTTATATTGATAACGATACACCTCAACTCGGAGCCGAAGTCTTAAACCCACCACAGAAAAGTTCACTGAACCAGCGAAACTTACAACGATAAGAAATTTCCATTTCCTTGTGTTTTAAGGCAGATTAAATTCAGCTCTGATAAGAAATACGTTAGTTTTTTTTTCTCTGGTGTATTTTAAGATTGTGAGGTCAGAGACTTACATTAATGCATTGTTAGCTTTCCTGTAGGGAAGTTATCAATCTTCAGGGAAAAATGAAAAAGTCGCAAAACCGGAACTTCAATTCAATATGGATATTGAAATTCGATATAAAATGCAGGATATGATTCAGAGTTGGTTCAATGTTTGACTATACTAAAAGGATGCATATAAGTAAGACGGTGGACAAGTAACAGCACGTGGGTAAATGTTGCTGTTTTATCATCTTTGGATTACTGTATAATACCACAATCTCTATGTCATCACTCGGAAAAACAATACAAAAAATCTCATCTGAAAAAAAGTACTTATTATTATCGCTATACAGCCTAGTTTTATAGATTTGATTCCTCCTCTCAATTTTCACAATAAAGGAAATTATTGAACATATAATAAAAATTTACGTAATGTTTTGTTAATCTGCACAATCGTCGGCACGACAAAAGTACCCAACAAATATAATCGAAACACTATGTTTTTCGTTACATTGCGTCTACATTGTGCCAGACATCATTAGAACTGGCTGTACCTTGATACGTGTTACATCGTCCGACACGTGCTGTCCGGTGTGAATTTACACATCATACACAGCTGGCACAACATACAATAACGGGAGTAGATATGTATGTACACCGCCAAGTATCAGTGCTGTATACCAGTACATACAACTTTTAATTCGCCTTCAATCGTTAGTTTATATCAGTGTGTGAATATTCTACTTTCACATTTAGTTAGTCGCTGCTTAACTTCGAAATGTTTACAAAAAAAATTCACTATAGTGAAATACGTCAGTAAATAAATAAATGGAAAAAAATATAAAAAGACTTATTGAAACTTCACAGAAATCAAAATGTCGGTAATAAAGCTGAATTTTAGCTTATAAATCATATAAGCAGCATTCCCTTTAGTTTCGTAACGTCTGCAGTCAAACGACTTTTACTTAAAAGAAAACTAATATGGCATAAGTTTGTTTCTCAGATTAAAAGTGAATCCAATATATCTGTACAACGGAAACTGGTTACATAAATAGGTATCTATTTACCATCACATACTATATATGATTGGCTGAAGCTGTGACAAAGGCACCACATGTATCAGTATTGTGTATTGGGATACTATTTAATGCTATTGTTGTTATGCTTAAAATAATAGATCATGTGTGTAATATATATACTGGCAATATTGAATATCATGCTTACAACTTAGAAATTAAATGTACAAATCTATTATCAGATACTTAAATACTGGTATCAATGTAGATATTATCTATATATATATTATGTACATGATATTTGCATTACATATTACATTTACTGAAATGACGGTTGTCGCAATCCTGACCAAAATATATGCTCAATTTGGATTTTGGATATTATTCGGTTTGTTTGGGGTTTATTTCAATAAAGGAAATATATTCATCAGTTTAATTCATTCTGTTGAACAGAGTTTAATATAAACACATACACATGTGTAATATGATTTATTGAATAAATATGTTAATATAGATTTGTTATCTACGATAATGAAAATGACAACGTCATAGAAATCAATAATCGATATCAGCGATAGATAAAATCGAACTTTACTAATAAGGTGATGTGCGTTACCGGAACTATTGGAATAGATCACGTGACACACTCTAATAAAGTGAAGATGTTTCAGGTGATAATGATGGCTATGGCGTGTCCTTTGTGCCGTAAACCTACTAACACCATATGTTGCGTCTCTGGAGTAAACAAGTTGAGATATTTATCTCCTTATAAGGATTTGCAAATGAGGTGATATCTACTAATGTATGTATTTGATGAAGCTTGCTTACCGCATGGCCTTTTAGTGTTAAACATCATCAATCATATCATGAAATCTCCATTCTACATTTGCCATAACAAAAATTGTGATGGATATATGTTTTCTAAATCTAAAATCACACAAGCTCATATTATAGAAATAGTTTTGAAGCATCTGTGCTGAGAGAAATGAAGAAAATAAAAATGTTGACAATTTTTATGAACAATTATATATATGAATTCTATAAATAGATTTATTGAAAAAATGTAAAATATATATATAAGAACATTTATTTCAATGCAGCTACAAGGGCGGTAACTCTTACTGCTTTCTCCTCTGAAAATGACGTAGGCATATATGAAATAAGCCGACACCAGTAAAACTGAAATGATAATTTTTCCCTCAATATTTTAATGATCGGTATTAAACAACCACCTAATGTTATATTGGTTAGTAAATTGTACATCGTCTGATAGATTTGTTAGTCATAATTAGAAACATGCGCTATATAAACATTGATGAAATTCACCAGTGTTATAAACAAAAATAATATGTTATTGTCTACTCTATATTGTACACAGCAGGTAGTTAGCTACACATTGCGTGTGGTGAAATCATACACATATCACCGAAACCAGCAAACAATACCGTCATCAAACGTCACGTGACACAACATTTTTAACTTACGTCATCATCCTTAACACGGAGATCCTGGATGGGTATGTCGTCCTGATGGAAATCAATTGTTAATGCAAATCAATTGTTATATTATAAATGGAACCCGAGTGATAAGCTAACATCCCTTTAACTATAAATACCTTTATGTGATAAACGTAGCATTAGTTTCTAACAGACTATTGATTTTATAGTCAGTTTGAATATTAAATATTTAAAAACTACCATGCCAATTACAAACAATAACCAACATGTATACTATTAGTTGCTTTAGAATGAAATATTTCTGAAGTGTCGGGGGTGTTATAATATTTCTGTTTTTTGTTCGGTCCCATTTTTGGGGGGTGTTGTTTATATATCTATCGTTTTATGTTTTTATTGAGTATGATTTTGTATTAAAACGCGGATATATAAATTCATTTTCGTCCTTTTTCATCTAAATTGACTAATGAGTTTTTATTGAGTGTTATTTTAGCGTGATGAATTCACATAAGATCTGACGGTAGCGGTTATGATATTTCCTATGGCCTGACATCAAACACAAACTACTGCTTCGCACGTCAATACGGCCACACAAACTACTGCTTCGCACGTCAATACGGCCACACAAACTACTGCTTCGCACGTCAATACGGCCACACAAACTACTGCTTCGCACGTCAATACGGCCACACAAACTACTGCTTCGCACGTCAATACGGCCACACAAACTACTGTTTCGCACGTCAATACGGCCACACAAACTACTGCTTCGCACGTCAATACGGCCACACAAACTACTGTTTCGCACGTCAATACGGCCACACAAACTACTGTTTCGCACGTCAATACGGCCACACAAACTACTGCTTCGCACGTCAAAACAGCCACACAAACTACTGCTTCGCAAGTCACTACGGCCACACAAACTACTGCTTCGCACGTCAATACTGCCACACAAACTACTGCTTCGCACGTCAATACGGCCACACAAACTACTGCTTCGCACGTCACTACGGCCACACAAACTACTGCTTCGCACGTCAATACAGCCACACAAACTACTGCTTCGCACGTCAATACTGCCACACAAACTACTGCTTCGCACGTCAATACGGCCACACAAACTACTGCTTCGCACGTCAATACGGCCACACAAACTACTGTTTCGCACGTCAATACGGCCACACAAACTACTGTTTCGCACGTCAATACGGCCACACAAACTACTGCTTCGCACGTCAAAACAGCCACACAAACTACTGCTTCGCAAGTCACTACGGCCACAGTCACTACGGCCACACAAACTACTGCTTCGCACGTCAATACTGCCACACAAACTACTGATTCGCACGTCAATACGGCCAGCTGCAGTGGAGATAGGGTTTCCACGTTTATCAGCCATCTACATACATACATGTTGTACAATAAATATTTATTGATTCCGCTACGTTCGACATATTTTCATCAGAAATTATTACATATATCTGCTGAGTAACGCTATACCAGTGTTGTTTCTTTCGAATCGTGCAAATTAGTGCGGTTTTACCAAAACCTTGAATTAAAACGATGTCGGGTATGGGGGGCTTTGGATTTCTTTACCAGTTTCATTTTTAAAGTGAAAAAAAAATCCTATTTTATTTCAAGCTCGTAATCACAACTACTTACAATAACACACCAGCAAAGAACAGCACAACCACAAACAATAACACACCAGCAAAGAACAGCACAACCACAAACAATAACACACCAGCAAAGAACAGCACAACCACTAACGATAACACACCAACAAACAACATTACAACCACTAACGATAACACACCAGCAAAGAATAGCACAACCACTAACATTAGCACACCAACAAACAACAGCACAACCACAAACAATAACACACCAGCAAACAACAGCACAACCACTAACAATAACACACCAGCAAAGAATAGCACAACCACTAACATTAGCACACCAACAAACAACAGCACAACCACAAACAATAACACACCAGCAAACAACAGCACAACCACTAACAATAACACATCAGCAAAGAATAGCACAACCACAAACAATAACAAACCAGCAAAGAACATCACAACCACAAACAATAACACACCAGCAAAGAACATCACAACCACTAACAACAGCACACCAACAAACAACATTACAACTACTAACAATAGCACACCAGCAAACAACAGCACAACTACTTACAATAGTGATAAGAAGTACAAATGTTCCATTAGGCGAATAGGTAAAATATGTCTTTTAATTCAAACTTTGAACAAACAGACTGGCTTGGGAGAGATCAAAAGATGCAGAAAGTCAACATGACAACATCATACGTGTCATCTGTTTTTCTAATGCACCATAGTAAAAAAAAGTAGAGAACCACTTTTTACAATTTGACAGCGTTCAATAAACTTATAAAGATGTCGATAAGTTCAAATTAAAATGCCTGTAATGGCTATAAAGGTTTTATTGACAGGAATAATACAGTCGGTGTGTAAGCTGAGTAGTTTGTAGCATGGCTACAAATGTTCTCATGTGTTTTAAGAGGATGATTAAAAGTGAACTGATAGGTTTCTAGACATTTGTAAATACTTTAAAGTCATTTAATGTTTAAATTTGTCACGCACTTTGTATTTTATAGATAAAAAATCTAGGTTCGTTGCCAGCCCTTCATTCCTCCATACTTTATTGCATTTTATCCGATAGAAAATGTATATTTAATTTCTTACCTCTAAGCAATTTGGTTTACAGCGATTTTTTGTGTTTATTTGCAAGTCAGGAAACTAACACTCTTGCCTTAGTAAAAATTAAATGGAATTTTTAATCCGTAAATCATATACCAAAACAGAATACTATATCAAGTTCTTTAATCCACAAAGTCATGTCCATCTTGAATACTTAATGCCAGATACTGACACCAAATGTGGAAGGAATTTTGCTATAGATGTACCAGACTAAAACTGCTTACCCCAAAGGCTCCTCCTTTTTCTTTTTTGTCCTTGTCACCAATTGACTTCATATTTGTTGTCCCGGAATCCCCTGTGGTAATGGTTTCTTTCCTGTTGGTGGTCTTGCTTCCATCTGCTTTGATAATGGTTTCCTCGACAACCGTCTTTGTGACCTTGTTAGCACCACTTCCGGTAGTTTCCGTGAATGTACGGACGGAACGGGACTCTCCACCTCGGCTTGCCATGTTAGAGGGAGTATTCTTATTTTCGAATCGACTAGAAAATGGCACAGATTCCTGTTTGTGATCAACACCTACTTGCCCTGAAAATGACAACAATAAATATTGATAAAGAACATAAGAAATACCGGCATAAATGTAAACAATAAATACTGAGGAAGAACACAATGAATACAAGCATAAATGAAAGATATATTCATTATTCTAAAACAGTTCAAACGACACATAAGTTAATGGCACCGCTTAATACAAATTAAGAGTTAGAGACTATTGAGATAAACAATGAATTCAATTGCATCATACAATTATTTTCCACTTCCAAGACTCGTAATTGAAGCAAAGGATCTAAATTCTGAACCTTTTGAGGCGACTACAAAAAATCTGTGGAGACCGAAGAAATTTCAAAATCTTATGGGAATGTGCAATAGTCCCATAATTTAATAGATTTCGTAATAATTATATATCTGTTAATTTTAGAGACAAGTACATGTGTTTATTCTGAACCATTCTCCTCTTCGAATAATTAAAAACATTGTCATGCAGGTTACGACAAACCCCGGGACTAAAGCTAAGATGCAGCTTTATAATGTTGATATTTTCTCATATTATAGTCATACAAAATAAACATAAGCTTAGAAATAACACGTCCTAATTATTTATGTTGTATTACACGTTCAATTGACATCGATAATTCTGGCTGTCAACTACTTATTTGATAATTTGGTTTTCATAGTTTGTTTTGTGACCTATTGAAACAATATCCTAAATAAACGTCCCCATTGACATTTGTATTAGAGAAAATCAATGGTTATTTATCAATAACAGCCGTGAAATGAAATCTGCACACAGTGTAGATACTATAGATATGTCAGAGATTAACAATACTGACTCTTTATGACGTATGAACCTGATTCTGATGTTTCTGGAGAGGTTTTATCAATACAACCCTATCATATACATAATTCATGAATCCATATACATAATTCATTAGATATGATAATTGAAACACTCATTTACTTGTGTTAGTTATAACGAAATAAAATTTTCTACATTCAGTAGATACTTTCCTTAACATCAGCATTAAGAATAGGGTTCAGTGTCAACATGTGTTTAACAAAAGCGAACAAAGGAAAATAAAACAACGATGTATATTATTCCGCCACATAAATTACCCAAAACGCTTCCTTTTTTACATGATGGTACATTAAATATTTTTTAGATCTATGAAAAAGTGACACACAATGGTAAGAATTTCTATAAAAAAAAACACTTACAGATCGTATTATTTGTACCGGCATTAGGTCCCTGTTAGAATTAACACACACTGACTGCTTTCCGGTCCTGAATTGATACTAGTATTGATGTTTTCGGGGTAGCTGTACATGCCAAATAAGGACTAAGTACTGCAGCTAGAAAATCGATAAAACTGACCTCGTTGTACTATGAGACTATCTAAGTCACTCACTGTGAGAGTAGGTACATACTCTTGTCTGCTGATATGAAGAATAATTTCACTTTAAAGGTTTGTAATCAGCCATCGATGAATCAAAGTTAATACAAAATGTTATGACACACATAGCCATTCATGTGGATAAATGTAATTGCGTACAATTACTGAAAGTTCTTAATATGGCTGATACAATCAAAATATACATTAGTGCTTCTATATTTATATACACAGTCGATAGTACTTTTAAAAGTCAGATGTTCTTGAGTGTATGTCTCTGTCGATTGAAACAGTTACAAAAACAACTAGTAATAACTGTTTAATATCGTATTTTAATCTTTGTATACATAGGTAACATATGGACATATGGGTTCAACAGTATAGCTGTATCGACCAGTACTTGATGTGTAGTGGGTAAATGTTCGCGACAGCTGACCAAACAACGTAACTAACAATTCTGAAGATGTCATCATACAAAATTAATCATATTACATTCAATAATCAGTAAAGATAATGTGTGTAGGTAGCAGTCATGTTTCAATGATCGTGTTCATAGATATGTAAATTTATAAATTTCTGTTAAGATTGTCAAAGTATATGCAGTTGTTCAGAATAACACATTCAGCTTTTCACAGCATTGCTGAAATCCTTGATCTTGATGATCACGTGATATTATAATTCATTGTCGCCATTTTGTTTTGATGTTGAATTGGTTGCAAACGGAATTTTTTTAATGTACAATAATTGACATTAATGCAAATAGATAGTATCAAGGTCGGAATCAACATAATTATAGATAGACATGGACTAAGCGTTATGGAAACCCATAAAAAAAAAAAAACCTGCTGAACGACTAGTATGGGGTCGATTTATATACGAAATGTATGTATGCACTGTCTGCTTCAAGCTGTTGTGGTATTGTTCGGCTTTCGTTGTCTTTACCACCTTCAACCCGTCATATGATTTGCTATCCAATGTAGTATCGTGCAACAAAGAGAAGGATGTGTCATTTGTATTCTATGTTGATATGGCCATCTTGCTTTTTTCTTAACTATTTATTTATTGTTTGTTTTTTCGGGGTGTGTGTGTATATATATATAATCATTAACATAATTACTGGGAAAAAAATACTGCATGGACGGAAATTAAAGTGCAAACAAACTAGATCAGTCTGCTGTATAACAAACTCAATTTTGCCATGTTAATTTATGTTAAATAAGCGTATCACACATCTAAAATTTTGCAAATGATCAAAGTGATCTAAATTGGATGTAGTATAACAAACGAGAATAATAGATTCTATACAACATTAAAAAAGAAAAGTAGGTCATGAACATTATGAAGACCATATGGCGAAACGCAACATTGATTCTGTATGCATGCAGAGAGCCTAACGTGTGAAACATCTCAATTAGTCTAAAGGTGGTTCGGGTACAATGATAATTTATTTGTGATATCTAGTTCTCCCAATGTCAATAACAGTATGTTGTTAATCATAACTTGTGATCAGAATATTTATCAAATATGTCAATGGCACATGAATATCGACCTTTCATTTAAATAAACTGTATTTGTTGGCTTTCGATATAAATGATTTTTTAATGCATTTAGATGTTGATTTTAAATGACAATACTTCAAATAATTACTTTGTGTTTGCTCATTAAAAATTTCATTCATTATTGAAATCGATATTTCCTCGTTTCGATATTTCTATGGCAAATATTTGTTTGTTACGTTCATGAACACACCATTCCTTAGTTTTTGTATATATCTAACTTACCGCTTTGAGATATCTTTTAGTCCAAATACATCCAAATTCAGACACACAATCGCACAATCCCACTAGATATATATGTACTAGTTAGTCTTTCAACCCAAGCTAAGGTGTATAGGCGTGCTAATGTTGGAAACGCCCATAATTTTACCTGGGCATTGTGGGTCAAAACTTCCCACCTTGTCAGAAATTATAACATGGTCAATAAAACGATAAAAGGTGACCCGCTAGAGACAGTGGTATTCAGATCGAAGAGTAAATAATCTGTATGCAAACAAACGCGGTATTCGTCTATTATTAAGACGGACTTCACCATAGTGATGTGAGAGAGGATTTATCTACCTCCAATACATAAAAGAGTTTCGCTCGCTTTTATTGCTTGTATGTTGCCCATTGCAGGAATGTAAGTGTTTCTTTCAAAACAATCAAAAATAAATTAGGCGGGGGTGACAGAGAAGGTTAGGAGTTTGTGTGATTTTGTATGCATCACTGTTATATCACCATATATTTTGTACACTTTTTTATTTGTTTTTGTTTTTATATCTCTCTTTTCTTCCAATGTTATTCCATAGTCTGCATCATCACAATTTAATTTACAACAAACCTTTCAATTCATGTAACAGAGGCCATTTTGCCATCTCAATTCCTCCGCTAGGAGAAGTTCTCTCTAGCCGAGTGGTATATTGCGGATAGTATTTTACCAGGGTAACATACTCCCCCCTCCAGGAAATAACTCGTCCTCGAGTTCCAGGGGTTACAGCGATGCTGATGGGGCATTGCTAAGTACTATTCCCGGGTCCCGACATGGGCGCCAATGTAATAGAGGTCATTTTGCCATCTCAATGCCTCCGCTAGGAATCGAACCCGGGACCCCTGGCTTACTAGTCTGACGCTCAACCAATCGATCTAAAGAGAAGTTCTCTCTAGCCGAGTGGTATATTGCGGATAGTATTTTACCAGGGTTACATTAATAAAGTAGAACACTGTCCACGAGAAACGACAAAGCATTTTCAAACGCCTGTATACGATGATTACCTGTAAATGTATGCGACCCTAGGTAAACCTTATGTGGCCCTTATCTTATTCGCCTTGTTATATATCATATCAATCAAACTTACTGACCATGAATGAGATTAAAGCACACAGGGACTCCTATCGGACACTTAAATCTATTCAGGGCCATGTATATTGTCGATTTAGTGTCATGGATGTTCTTGAGTTGGGTTTTTATAGACATTTATTTACTTTATTTGGTCGGTTTTGTAAGTTTCAATGTGCATTGTGATCACTATCTCCGTATAGTGTATGTATTTCGTTCAAAAAAAGTAAAAATCGAAGTAAGATACCATAGGAGTTTCTGGTTGACAACGTCTTCGTAGAATTGGTGGGGAGGTCTTCTACTGGCTTGTCAATGGGAACTGATTGTATCCCTCTGTTGGCTAACCGGTTTCTAACTTCAATGGAGGCTGAATTTATCGAAGTGCTCATCAAGTTAGGTCACAAAAGCCTTGCAAAGTCCTTGAATTGCACTTTCAAAAATACTGTTGACATCTTAAATAACATTAAATATATTGCCAACTTTGTTCGTATATACGCATCAGAATAGGGAATCATGGTTACAACATACTCTTCTACGTCAACCATGCAGTTTTTTTCTGGCATCAAAACTAATATGGACAGCGCTTTCCGCCAACTTGTCTGATAGCCGCGATCATTTCAGTTTCTCTGTTGTGAATTTTCTGTTTTTTAATAGCTCTACCTTGTATTCGTCAACTGACAGACAAAATCACAACACAGGGTTTTGAGAAATGCAGGTGGATGAAAATCATGAGGAACTTCCTTTTTTATTATCGCTCTTTCTTTCTGTACTATGTTCTCGACAAACTCTCTTATATGACTTTAATGATGATAGTTTTGAATATATTTGAGAACGATATAAGGAAGATAATTATTGGTCCTTGATGATTAACTGTGTGGTGTAAACTTTGCTATTTCACAAGTAATTAAGCAGCTCAATACAATGTTATCTGTTCCACATGTGGTGCACGAATTATCATATATTCTAACATAAGATAAATTCAACACACGTAGAAATCAAATGATTTAATTCAAATACGGTAGGAACTATAATTCCACATAGTTCCTGTAATTTAACAGTTGTTAAAAGGGTCCGAGTTGTAAGGTCTTCAGCATCATGATAGCAGGTTAACAGAGGAAGTCAACAATATGTTTAATATGTTTCCACGGCTTTCTAAATATAGATGGAAGCATCTTTCTGTGAGCCACGTGCTGATTTGGCACTGTGACCTTTGAAATTTGGTTGATTGTCCACGGCGGTTTATTGTCACTGCTCCATCCAATGTTGATTTTCGAAAAAAAAATGCGAGTATAAGAATGTTGACGCACATCCCTGATAGGCTGGGAGTAAGGAAGACGATTACGGAGGCTGTTCGGGATAAATTGATGACACGATATCACGTTATCTGTTGACTGTGTCCAGATATTTGAATAATTTGATTCGGCGAAATTCAAGGGTCTCTCAGATTGAGGAAAAGTTGCTTTTTACGCTGAAATAGAAATCGGGTTAGTAATGAGTTTTTTTCTTAAGAACTTGACATGTTTTGGTTTAAAGAAATATAATCTTTCGATGGATTTGCTCAGGAAATAGGAAACGGAATGAGAGGAGATTAGTATTTATCATGATTTCCAAAATTACCTAGTTTATACCATGTGATTGATTGACTTATAAATACAATTTAGATGTGAGTAATTAAGAGAAAAGAAGAGGAAAGAAGGAAGAACACTCTTTTAATCGAAGTGGATGTGAGTTTTGAACAGAAAAGTGGAAAAAATAGAATCTGTGACGGAAATGACAGAGAACTATAGATGATAAACGTAAATGCCTGACCTGGACCGCCTGTTAATAATCTAAGGACATGAAACAATCAAATGTGCATATCTTTGCTTTTACTTTTTGCCCATTTCATATATGTTTATTCAATTTTGCTCGAAATTTTGAAACACTATATTATGAATATTGTAAATATATATTAATTCTAAATTCAAATTTCTTTAAAATTGTATCTTGAAATTGTTCACTCCATTCATTTATATTTTGGTTTGATAAACTATGAAGACCTACACGAGAAAACGTTCTAAAGAAACTGTGTATTAATTTGAGTGAAGTAATATCACTAGATAGAGAATTGATATTTCTGTCGCTGTTTCTACAATGTAAATAGACTTACCAGACGTCCTATGCCCATTGGCACGAAGGAAAATTCGTTATCCTGTGACATTATTTTGTGGCTGCCTGTCCGCAAATAGTCACTCCCATTGGGTATTTCTCTGGAGTCGCGGAAAGTACACAGGGCCCCTTTTTAACATCTCCTTCGTATTTCCCTTCTCTTGTATTTTTCTTAGCTGTGTGCACGCTATACATTCTTCATTACAATTGGTACTTTCAATTTGCTTTGGGTCCAATAGCATGAACTTCTTTTTCCTGTAAAACTCCAGATCATGATTTGCGGATGAGCAATATAGTGTTTATATTATGACGTGGGGTTGAAGGGTCGCATCATATACATGTTCAGGATCACTGTTCATTATATAGTCCAAATATAGAGACCGACTCTTCTAGCTGTTTTGCTTCGTTTTCAAAACATGGAGATCCTCTTGGATGGTTCTGAACCAGAAATCTAACAAGTAGCTGCCACCTCTGTCTATACATGGAACAACGCCAGATATCTTGCGCTCTCTTTATATGCTTTGGAAACCTTCATGTCCGCTTTCGTCTAATTTGTGTTAGCGGTTCCAGCAGAAACATGTCCGTATCTTCACCACTGATTTCCCTCTCTCCTATCCTGCTCCAGTTCCTCAGGTTTACTTCTATCATCTTTTCGCTAACTTCAGCCATCCATGTTTGTTTTTTCAATGACATGATTCCAGAAAGGGATTGGGTAAGAGTAAGGATGTGCAAACAGTTTCAATGCAAAGAGTGTGATCTGATTGGTCGAAAGTGAGTACACATATCTCAGAGTGTACAAGTGAACAGCACCTTTTATTTTTTTACGAATTCGAATAAGTAGAACCAAATTTATTTTCAAACTGCATCATACAGCTTTTTCGTGCTTCTATGACAAATGTTATTTTCACTACAATGTAAGTAAATACGCGGTGAATGAATTACTTTTATTTTCACCATAAGTGTCATTCCTGAATTAACCGTACCGTGCGTCCCACATTATCCATGAACGCCGATCAAATGATTTAACATTTTAACTACCTTGCTATGTCAGTATGTTAACTTTGTAGTTTTGATAAGTTTACATGTACCTTAAACTTGTTATATGTCAAAGTCGTTATTACGACGTAACAAAATAGTAAATTACGGTGTTAAACATCTTTTGTTCCCCAGCTGGACAACAATCCTCACTTGTAACCTGTATTTGATAGGTAAGTAGATATAAGTTCTTGTGTAAGCATAGGGGCCATAGTTAGGACTAAGATTTTTATATTTACCTTTTTCTGATGAGAGGTCGATTTTTCCGTCTTTTGGCGGAAGTACATTTTCCTGAAAAGCACCAAGCATGTTCCCGGCTGGTCTGTAGTTGGCTACCACTAATATTTTGCCATCTTTTGTTCGCGCCTTTCCTACACCTATCTCATCACTCCCCTTCCATACGACTTGAGTGAAATGACCTGCAACAATTTTGAAATTTAAGCAAATACAACTGCAACGAAAAGTCAGTTAACAAATTACACATCTAATCATGAAAATTTAGTCTGATTCACAATCAAAGGCTACTTTTAACAGTCAAGGAAAGCAAAGCAATTTTCCGTTGTAAGTACAAATTTACTTCAAAAACAACCAAGGGAGACAATTTTATTGAAGTATTGAAAAATGAGTGCATTGTGTTGCCTCACAATGTATTTACTATTCATCCTGCGATAATGGTGGATATTCTGTTGTTGTCATTCTTGGACTTTGCGACAGCTGTCAGTTACAGGATTTTCAAGCAAGAACAACAGCAGTTTCTACTTTCCGCAGTTTTCTCTCTGATGGATATAACAAAAATCCTATTAATTCGAAAAGGAGGCGGTTCACAATTCTCTGACTTCAATATGCTTTCTTTTTGATCACACTACAAGACCACTGTATAATGAACATGATATGATGCGTTTGCCTAGAGAAGTGAATAAAGCGGTCATAGTAAAATTGCATCAATTACTGAAGTTGCCATTGGGAAACGAGAAATACCCACGTGCAGTCAATCAGTAAAATGTGTTCATAGACATAGCGATATACCGAACCGTACCTGTGCCTGAGACTGGCTGTGCGCTTCCAAAAGTGTACATCTTGACCTCGCCGTACCACTGGTCAGTGACCTCTTGGCCTTTGCAATTAAAAGAATGACATGTGTATTAGGAATATTAACGACAGGGTGAGGTAATTACCAGTGGTCGCAAAGTGACCGATCTCATATCATACTTGGTTGGAAAGATAACTGTGTAACTTCTTGCCTCTGAAATTGATGAATTTCTAACTTAAACATGTTTGTGATGCTTAATTTCTTTCCAATTCTTTCGTTGTGTATGATGCAAAGAATTCCATCATTACATACACTAAAACCTCGCAACACGGTCATCATGCTTCAAGGATATTGGCGAAATAATTTTAGCAATATATCGGGTGATGTGCTTCAATACGTGATGGACAGAATCATTACACAGTGAAACTTTGCGATTCTGTATATCATTTATATTTCGCGTTAATACGCGGAGAGATTCTATTTACAATTCAAATCCCTCGTCCTGTTACGGATATTGAAGTCTTGAGGAGTCTTGGTTTCTAATATATGTAGCTCATCATACCAGAAATTAAAGTCATTTCTAAATCAGCGTTCGCGAAATAAAGTATTCACAAAATTTAAGTAATTTCCAGTAAACTTGTTAGCTATGAAAACGATAGAAAAAAAAGTAATAGATAGGAACATGAATCATGTTTTTGATATCATGATTTTACTGAATTGCGAATAAGTAACTGTGATTTTGTAGTGAATTACGAGAAAATAAGCTGTGACATTATATTGTAACACAGAATTACGGATAAATAAGCTAGAAACGTGACATTTTAATGAATGCCTATTACAGTTATATATGGTGAAAGTTGAAATTGGCTTTTACAACTGTAATAACTGGCACCAAAACAGTTTCTTTCCCACATTAAATTCACCTATGGTTTCCATCTAAAAAGCTATTGTCATTTCATACTCAAATCATTGAAGTCGATACATGGCGTTGTTTAGATAGTAAACATTGATTAAATATTTTAAACTAATACTATTTTAAGCATATACAATGTTCTTATCAAGTCGAAGGTGCTTACAATGAAAACGTTTCCCTGGACAGACCAAACATATCGTAATTAAACTCAGCAGTGGTCCTTCATAACTTTAACCCGCAATGCTTTTAACAACTAATCAGGTACAAACATGACTTGGTCCGTTGGTCAGTGAACGTCTGACCACTAGGCATGTGAATAGATATCGACTTACATATGATAGATGGCTTTGTAGATAATACACACATCTCATTCTCTATCTCACAACCGTAAACAACCTTATGTAATCTATCATAACGTTATTAATCAGGTTGTGCTATTGTTTCCCACTACGTTGGTCATGTTGTTCAACAAAATGTAAAACAAATACCAACATGTCAACATAATCCTAATCCGAACTCAAATTCCATAAAACTAGGGCAAAATATGCACAAAAGAAAGATATAAACGGAGATTGCTGAAAAATAAGTACAAGGAGAATAAAAGCTGGTGTTCCGAAAGAGTAAGCGTCTTCTGCTTCATCGACAACACCCACAATGTAAATCTTGGTCAATCCAAATACGTGTCACATTCTTAAATGAGAACAAGTTAAACTAACCATACTCCAACATGTGTTACGTGATTGCATTTCAGATCTACATTGATTTGAATATTCGTCACTATTGTGTACATATAATGACTAGTAAAGACATAGTTTAGCCATTTGTGGTCAAACACACATGGAAATTAGCACTTTGTATTTGTCCCTCGTGTGAGATGGGCGATATTGTTAAGTCAAATGTAAATATGAGCCTATAACATTAGCGTTATATTGGCTGATCTGTACCACCATCCAGTACAAACTGAAACCTATCTAACGTACAGGCGAAATGGGATTTGCGTTTAGTTCCCAAAGCTTGACAAAGTAAAGAAACAAGCTATAAACAGAATTTACACACCTTATGTACACAGTTAATACTTTAAGTGCAAAGGGCAGTTAACCTCATAGAAATAAAAGCATTTGAGCAATAAATAAACTACTCGTCAGGGATATAGAACAGCCTATGTGGAGAATGACAAACTGTTATGCTTAAATCAGGCAGATATATATGGCTTCAAACAATAGTTTACTAATTATCCAGTAAAGATATTGAATAATTAGATTCAGAAGGTTTCACCGGTAATTTTCATATCGTAATATCACAAAACGTTAATATGAATAACTAAAATAACAGAAATATAGATATCTACAACATAGTGACATTATCTATACAGAAATGTACATATCTACAACAATGTGACATTATCTATACAGAAATATATATATCTACAACATAGTAACATTATCTATACAGAAATATATATATCTACAACAAAGTGGCATTATCTGTACAGAAATATATATATCTACAACATAGTGACATTATCTATACAGAAATGTACATATCTACAACATAGTGACATTATCTATACAGAAATGTACATATCTACAACAATGTGACATTATCTATACAGAAATATATATATATCTACAACATAGTGACATTATCTATACAGAAATATATATATCTACAACAAAGTGGCATTATCTGTACAGAAATATATATATCTACAACATAGTGACATTATCTATACAGAAATGTACATATCTACAACATAGTGACATTATCTATACAGAAATGTACATATCTATGTGACATTATCTATACAGAAATGTACATATCTACAACAATGTGACATTATCTATACAGAAATGTACATATCTACAACAATGTGACATTATCTATACAGAAATATACATATCTACAACATAGTGACATTATCTATACAGAAATGTACATATCTACAACAATGTGACATTATCTATACAGAAATGTACATATCTACAACAACGTGACATTATCTATACAGAAATGTACATATCTACAACAATGTGACATTATCTATACAGAAATGTACATATCTACAACAATGTGACATTATCTATACAGAAATGTACATATCTACAACAATGTGACATTATCTATACAGAAATCTACATATCTACAACAATGTGACATTATCTATACAGAAATATAGATATCTACAACAATGTGACATTATCTATACAGAAATGTACATATCTACAACAATGTGACATTATCTATACAGAAATATACATATCTACAACAATGTGACATTATCTATACAGAAATATACATATCTACAACATAGTGACATTATCTATACAGAAATGTACATATCTACAACAATGTGACATTATCTATACAGAAATGTACATATCTACAACAATGTGACATTATCTATACAGAAATATATATATCTACAACAATGTGACATTATCTATACAGAAATGTACATATCTACAACATAGTGACATTATCTATACAGAAATATAGATATCTACAACAATGTGACATTATCTATACAGAAATGTACATATCTACAACAATGTGACATTATCTATACAGAAATGTACATATCTACAACAATGTGACATTATCTATACAGAAATATAGATATCTACAACATAGTGACATTATCTATACAGAAATATACATATATACAACATAGTGACATTATCTATACAGAAATATACATATCTATCTACAATGTGACATTATCTATACAGAAATGTACATATCTACAACAATGTGACATTATCTATACAGAAATGTACATATCTACAACAATGTGACATTATCTATACAGAAATATATATATATCTACAACATAGTGACATTATCTATACAGAAATATAGATATCTACAACATAGTGACATTATCTATACAGAAATATACATATCTACAACACAACAATGTGACATTATCTATACAGAAATATAGATATCTACAACATAGTGACATTATCTATACAGAAATGTACATATCTACAACATACTGACATTATCTATACAGAAATATATATATCTACAACATAGTGACATTATCTATACAGAAATATAGATATCTACAACATAGTGACATTATCTATACAGAAATGTACATATCTACAACATAGTGACATTATCTATACAGAAATATAGATATCTACAACAATGTGACATTATCTACAGAAATATAGATATCACAACATAGTGACATTATCTATACAGAAATGTACATATCTACAACATATGACATTATCTATACAGAAATATAGATATCTACAACATAGTGACATTATCTATACAGAAATATAGATATCTACAACAATGTGACATTATCTATACAGAAATGTACATATCTACAACAATGTGACATTATCTATACAGAAATGTACATATCTACAACAATGTGACATTATCTATACAGAAATATACATATCTACAACATAGTGACATTATCTATACAGAAATGTACATATCTACAACAATGTGACATTATCTATACAGAAATGTACATATCTACAACAACGTGACATTATCTATACAGAAATGTACATATCTACAACAATGTGACATTATCTATACAGAAATGTACATATCTACAACAATGTGACATTATCTATACAGAAATATATATATATCTACAACATAGTGACATTATCTATACAGAAATACACATATCTACAACATGGTGACATTATCTATACAGAAATACACATATCTACAACATAGTGACATTATCTATACAGAAATATATATATCTACAACATAGTGACATTATCTGTACAGAAATACACATATCTACAACATAGTGACATTATCTATACAGAAATACACATATCTACAACATAGTGACATTATCTATACAGAAATACACATATCTACAACAATGTGACATTATCTATACAGAAATACACATATCTACAACATAGTGACATTATCTATACAGAAATATATATATATCTACAACAGTGTGATAGTATCTATACAGAAATTATTTTTCGTTAAATGTTTGTAAATAGTTTTCTGTTTGTGCGTGGTTATTTCTCTGTACATTGGATGTTGTTATCAGTGAAACATCTAGTGTGGTGCCACACCTGGTGACCTTATCCATGTAGAAATCTTGTCTGATTATTGTCTTACAAAGGTGCTGATTTACACGAGCGTGATGCACTCCAACAAGACAAAGCGGGATTGGGCACGTTCACTCATCAGCACATATATTACTCAATAAAAATCGTTTATATCAGTAGATTTATTACATTGATCTTCGTGTCTAGAATCTTAAACTTTTGATAAATTAGTGACACCTGCAGTTTTTCGGTATGGGATGTCCGGGTATCATCGTCTTAATAAAGCAACACAAAAATGTGTAAATTCATTCAAACTGTTTGTGGCTATATAATGTTTGGGTGATGACAAAATACATCCTTTATGGAATAATTGTTCTTATACAAAAAACTTTGTTGACATGTCGGTAGTTTCTTTGTTGTCTTGGTGGGGTCACATACTCAGAACGGGCGACATCGCTCCTTCTTTCCGTCCTTTACACTTGAGAGACAGTATCACTCCACCTTAGGATTGCGATAGTTTCTATGTCAAAGTGTCGTCTAAATTGAATTCAAACTTGATTCTGAGAACCGCGAATGAGCGGTTACTATGTAGATTGGAGCAGTTGTCACACTGCTTGTGTACAATAAAGGCTAATCGAAGGGTAGATTGTGTACAGGTTACGGTAAATAAACATCTCTATCAGATATCTAGTGTGTATCAGCTCTGGTCTGGTGACCGGAGCGTGTGGTCAGATCATCATATTCGTATATATTAGGGCGGGACAGAGAGACGAAGACAAACCTATCTTTGATTCACCTCTGTCACATTCCAAGCGTGTAGGCGTAAATTAACATTTTCCAAATTCATGGGGACTTTTTATACTTCGGCCGGTGGTCACATAAAAGCTAGCTATATAAAATTACTACACTTGTGCGGGGAAAAGACATTATGTGGCCGGTCGTGCTCTCTGGGTAACGCTTCAATGTACATAATCATCAGTTTCTACATCATCTGGGTAAATCGTCTGCAAAATAGGATTTTTGCATTTTGCCTTTCACACTTTACTTAAGAGTCAACGAATCTGTTGTATAACACTACATATATATCATATAGCATAAATACAAATATAGGTCATCTTAGCACGTGATTTGTAAAATGTAAAATAACTTGGACACTTAAATAATAGAGAAATACCCAATAAGAGTATTGTGTTAAACTGATATTAACATCATAGAAACGTGACCATGGATAGCATTTATTATTATTTTTTTCCAGTACTTTAATATCATATCGTTATTGGAATATCCAGTAAAAATCCAGTAAGATGTATTTTGTAAGAATGTATTTATATAGCCATGAAATTTGAGTAAATCTCTCTCTCTCTCTCTCTCTCTCTCTCTCTCTCTCTCTCTCTTAATCAAAAATAACATGTATATAATAATTCTGAGCCATTTTGAAATGTACATGTGAAATTGTGTTTCTTCTAAAGGAAATAATGTTATTGCAACTTGTGCCTAATCCTTTTGCATAACGGGAATAAAATGTGTTTAAACAAGGGGGGAAATGCGAAATGTGGTTTTGAAAAAAACACGGTGTATGACATTAACCGAATTTTAATGGCCACATGAAGGTCAAAACGCGACTCGAAAATATCCTAGAACATAAGTGGACAAAGGAATGAAGAGAACATGAGAACAGGCGTCACATCCTGGAGATCTATTAAAAAACAAGGCATGATGATGCTATTTTCTCATCATACAACAAGGTATTGAGTAAACAAGAAGAAATTGTTCAATGATATCAGTCTGTTCTTCTGTAAAACTACATTGTTGATGTGATCCTCTACATATGGGTATATATAGGTATTGTGTGATCAGGGAAGTGGTTTTCTATTGGACATTTTTAAGACTCCAAACAAACAGCCTAAATTACAATGCCTCAAATTACAGACGTTTCACACCTGTCACTGTAATTATATATCCAGGATTCAGGTATATTTTCATAGTATTTCAATAAGAGAATTCTACAAATAGCTCTGAAAACAGAGCCCATATCACGAGACAACACTACATACCAAACGGCGAAGATTACCTTTGTAGCAAGGTCAATCTACTACAATTTGAAAGTTGTTGGCAGAACAGTTCTTTGACATTACAATCGAAATGTTGTATCTGAGATCCCTGTTAGGATAAAATCAGTTTGATTTTTTCCAGTTCGAACCTTGACTATCTGTATCCTTAATTTGTAAGTACAGTAACAACTACGGACATCATATATATTATGAATTTCAAACCTGTTTTGGCATGCCAAACATCGTGAACGATGTACAATTTTAATTCAAAATTGAAATAACAGTTGAATGAAGAATATTCCAGTTAAGTCATCCATCAGAATAGACAAGAGTATGTCTTTTATATTTTTATTTTACATTTTCCCAGAAACAAACTTCTCCGGGGATTTTAATTTTTTTTTAATGAGAGTGAATGTGCATGAACAGGAATAAAAAAATTACACATGGGAAATGGTGCGTTTATTACAAAGAGTCGTACCTGCCAACTACATCACCTCGATCCATGGGGAAATATTACGACGAATAAAGAGACAGATCATTTTTACAAACCTACTCTATTTCCTTTCTGAAGTTTGGGCAGTTCAAGTTTTTGAAAATTTATCAGTTTTTTTTTGTTTTTTTTTTCCTTATTTTTCTGTGAGCACAAACATTTCAATTGATAATAAATCTATAATATGATTGTTTCCCCTTGATTTTGGCTTACTTGGTTTTTTTTCTTAATTTTGACTTACCTGTGTAATTATCGGGACCTGATGTCCATTTCATGGCAATGTTTTCCCCGATTCTTTTCCCATTACAGTTGCAGTCGCTGTGTTGAAAGCCGTCTGTCTTGGCCAGGTGGTCAGCCCAGCGTTGGGCGACACTAGTGAGTTCCTGAGAATGGACGATTGGTCCAGACTGGTGTCTAGCTCTATAAATGTTATGAGCCTTTACTACCTCGTCAACAAAGCCTTTGTCAGCCATGTTCGCCTTCTGTAAAACAATATTTAACGGTTTGGATTCAAATTTGTAAGCCCACAAAAATCAAGCTGAGAGGTGCAAATATGTAGGGCAAGGAGTTTAACATTACAAAAAATCAATAAACAAAATGCAGGGTCAATATTTCATAAAATAAAATTTGCAAAGAGATTCTTGTTTTGTGGTACGTAAGATTTGCGAGTTACAATGCCTTCGTAACCATGTAGATTATCGATTATTAGACAAAATTTTGCACCGATTTCTAAATATTCCGGACCTGGTACGACAAACATTTTGCAATCGATTATTGAAACAAAAAGTACACATAAACATCTAAATGAAAATACATCGACATAAGATAAATTTCGCTTTTACAGACATACATATAAAAAAATTTATTGGGCTTTGATGTCATTGCATTAGCTTCGCTGAGGTGTCCAAATAAAAAAAGACACACATATGACTGTATGTAATTAAATGCAAGGTTTTCTCTGGTTTGGTTTAAGCATACATGTTGTCGAACAAGAAGATTTGTTACACATTAAATCATCCTAAACACAAGAGAAATGGCAGTTTGACGTTGAAAATTAGGAAAAGTGTGACGTATAAAACGAGTCTTGTAAACCATGTTATCACCAGATCACAAACCAGTCTAATCCGACATTGTGATAGAATAGCACAAAATTACACGTGATTTCGTAATTAAGCATTCCAGCTGAAGGTCGAATATATATATTTGTTAGAATAAGTAGGCGACGGTCAAAATCGAAAAAAATATCATGAACAAACACTAAGTTGAGAAAATACTTTTGTAAAGCAATAGATCTCTATACCTACTTGTCTATGAAAAGCCTTGTCTGTTTTTCTTGAATCTCAACACCCTCCAAAGATACAGTACACAATGGAATTATCGTGTCGGTGCACAGTATTTATACGTACCTTTTTAGGTAAATTAGGTGTATTTAATATGACTAGGTATAGCCAATAGAGTTTTAGCTCCGACGATGACGTCACTATTAATTCAGGTGTGATATTTCTGCTGTCATGTGAGATCATTGTGAACACATTGAGGAACAATTAGTCTGATCGTCATTATTACGAATTTTGCGGAATAAGTACCCGGATGGTGAACTGAAGTAAACAATGAATTTAATCCAGCGGAGTAATGAGCATTTAAGACCTGAATGTCTGAATGTTTTTTTGGTTTTTTTTTCAATGTCTCCTCAACTATACCATACAATACGTGAAAATGACTTAGGTCAAAATGGATAGTAATAAAAAATGCTAAAATCCCAGTCGTTGCCGTGTCAGTTATATGATAGTTTCCTATTCAATACAGATCCTACAGTAATTTCTTGGAATAACAACTCGGATTAACAATATTATTTTTACTAAATATAGCCCAAATAAGGATGAATCCCCCTCCTTATTGGGAAATCTGAAATAAAATAATCAAAAATAAAGTCAAAAACCTGTATTTAAAAAAACGATTCTATTCCCATTTTGACCATTTCCGTCCTACCCCGAGAGCTCCAGAAAATACTCAAAATTTAAACTGTCAAACAGCCATATCAGATTGTTTCTAATCAGTTAAGCTTGTTTCTGATAAAACAAAGCGTACTCAAACGTTTTAATGCCCTGTATCATTCTTTGAGGTTTTATGTGATACTCAGGTTTAATTGTTGACTAAAGTGGATGCCATCTTCAGAAAGGTACATCATCTTGAATGTTTCGTTGGAATTGATAAATAGTTATGAATACTATAATCAACTTAATTATATAATGGAAAACATTTTATTGAAATCGTGCACCGAATGAACCCAACCGAGTACGTACCATACAAAATATCTTCTCGTTTACAGTGCCGAAAATATCGATTACTTTTGCATGAAAATCGGGTATACAGAATGCACTTCTGGTTGGATAAAGCTTTCTCTAAACATATTAAGGAGAACACGATCTTTCGATCATTAATGTTAACTCTATTTAAATTTCAACGTGAATGATTAAAAGCATGTCGGAAGTTCACAGCCCATTCTGTGATAAGGTCCAGCGACCCAGATCGTCATAGCTTTACATTCGTTTATTATAGATATTTTTTATTTTTTTTTATCTTCCTTGAATTGTCACAAAATTCATAATGCTGGCTATGATCAAACAACTAACATGTTGACATCCTAGTCTAATATTTATGATCTGTCTTAGCCAGGATCATAATACAGATGAATTGGTCTACCAGGCGATAGAGAGGTACGTTGGTGTGGGTTGGGGGTGTGGAGGGGAATTCAAATAGACCTGTTATTTAAGAACTGTCCCATTCCTCTCTTTCTCTTCCCTTGTGATCCTCCATGAAGTGTGTCTGGCGGTTTCTCAGCAGCGCCATTTCCGCCGACACACTTCCAGTTTCACAATTGTAATATAATGGAATGTTAAACATGTGGTGGTCTCTGTCAAGCTGTCTATTAGCTAACTCTTTGTCATGCTATGATCGAGTGTTGTCATCGAGGTCCAATTCACTGTCTACACACAAACAATCACTCAGTCATTACAGTTTACATTAGATATGCCTCACAAACTGGCAGTTTTCTGATTCTAGTAACATTCGTAAAAATATTGCCCATTCCTTTGAGAACAAAATGCAATCTGCATGGAGATGAAAGTTGCATGGTTGTTTATTTCATAAAACTACAAGAGTGCGGTGTACTCTGATAGGAATGATGGTATTCACATTTGCAATTATTTACAACTTTATGCCAAATGGCTGTTAAAAACCACAGGGACTTGATCCAGTCATTTTAGCTTTAGGTCTGTTTGTCGAGGGCCAGAGGAGTTTACATGTTCTGGCGTGTTGTCGTTCACCAATCACTCCGTCCCTCCATCGTCGTCTGTAAACAATATCTCTAGCAATGTATGTGTATGATAATTCTGTAGGGAACAGAAAAAGGATCTCAAGTACTGAGTAGGACACGCAATCTTGTTGGTCGTAAAACGGAAATTCAAATTTGTCTATACTTAGGAAGCCAAGAAATACAATGGTTATCAATCATGTCACTACTGCAAGCATGCTCGTGATAAACGTGTTTTATACCTCGCGAACTGCGTTTTCGGGGATATTGATTTTGGCTCCGTACATGCTTGAGTGTGTCCAGCCGTGCATCCGTCCGAGGACTTTTCCAGACTTTCAACTCAACCTCACAAAACTTGCTGTATATATTACGTTAGTGCCCTACTTGTGCCTTTTGCTATTGACATTTCATTTTTTTTCTCATAATTTTTCTGTTACCATGGAAACATAGTCAAAAAGCACAAAGTTAATGTTAACTTTTCTTTCCAGGCTACAACTTACAAAATATTCTATCTCAATTCAGTTAATTTTTTGTGTTATCTATTTATTTTGTTACCATAGAAACAGTGACCAGTGCTCTGAAACCGTTCGGGAGAATTACTCAAAACTTTTTTTACACTTTTCAATCTAGTAGCAAGCAGATAGGACAAATTGCAATTTTTTTTTCTGACCAGTTCTCTTTGACCGGTATATGTAATTACCCGGTACTCAACACTCTGTATAGGCATCAAGTAGTACTCTAGAGAAGTTATCCATTTCAACACTTTTTATGGAACAATTAAAAACAACAAATACAAATTAAACTTGGTGTACTTTTAACAACCAACATAGTTAGGGCCGTTGGGGCCCGGGTGTGTGCTGAACCAACATAGTTAGGACCGTTGGGGCCCGGGTGTGTGCTGAACCAACATAATTAGGGCCGTTGGGGCCCGGGTGTGTGCTGAACCAACATAGTTAGGGCCGTTGGGTCCCTGGTGTGTGCTGAACCAACATAGTTAGGGCCGTTAGGTCCCGGATGTGTGTTGAACCAACATAGTTAGGGCCGTTAGGTCCCGGTGTGTGCTGAACCAACATAGTTAAGGCCGTTAGGTCCTGGATGTGTGCTGAACCAACATAGGTAGGGCCGTTAGGTCCCGGGTGTGTGCTGAACCAACATAGGTAGGGCCGTTAGGTCCCGGGTGTGTGCTGAACCAACATAGGTAGGGCCGTTAGGTCCCGGGTGTGTGCTGAACGAAAAGCTGAATAGAGTTTAAACATGTCTTATTGTCAAAAGAATCAAATGGATTGGACACAAGTTACAAGAATATTATCAAAACCCTATGAATATACTGAATATACATATACACATATATATTAAGCATGGCAGGGCTGGATTTGAATTTACATGAAACTTTAGCATTGTTTTCAGTCAGAGAGAAAGAGAGTGCACGCGCGCGAGAGAGAGAGGGGGGAGAGAGAGAGAGAGAAAGAGAGAGAGTGTGTGTATTTGTGTGTGTGTGTGTGTGTGTGTGTGTGTGTGTGTGTGTGTGTGTGTGTGTGTGTGTGTGTGTGCCTCACTTCGGTTAATATGCATGTTGTACAACCAGATGTATAGATAATGTTTATCAGACTTTATGCAACTTTGCAATTTTATGTACTTAGTCACAAAACTCCTAGATATGACAAGTCTGCTATAAACCGAGTTATTAACCAATGAGATATTCGATGAATAATCAGTCTTGCACTGTATCAGTCATGTTACGCGAGGGCGATCCCAAATACACAGAGGGATTCTCAAAATAATTTACTAATGGTCTGTCGGAAAAATAGTCTCCCTGGTTTATATGTAAATTAAGATAACAAAGTGTCTACGTCCCATATTCTGAAACGACGTCACCTTAAGTGCTGCATACTCATGCACTTGTCGTCTGCTATCGGTAACGCCCAGAAGAGACATTGCTCTGGAATAAGTAACTAATTGTTGCTATTAAGTGTTGATGAACTGGTTATAAATAATGAAATGATATTTTATAACGATTAGATATTATCCTCGTCGTGGAGCTCGCTTTCCTGCCTGCTATACTTCACATTCTAAGCGTAAATCGTATGAAACTGGTGCTCCGGTATATCTATAAAAGATAAGAATGAGGCACTGGTGCTCCGGTATATCTATAAAAGATAAGAATGAGGCACTGGTGCTCCGGTATATCTATAAAAGATAAGAATGAGGCACATCTGTTATGTTACTAACGTAAGTCCTGTTGTAATTAGGCGAGTATATACGCTGCCTCATTTTTTTTATCATGCACGTGTACACTGTACTTTAGTTCACGATTTTGAGAGAATCAATGAGGACAACATCTCTATAAAAAGACCATGGCATTCCTTTCAGTTCATAAACAAGAAAAAAACATTTGCGTGGTTAATCAGTAACGTAATCTTAGATGTCGCGTGACAATGTCAATCAGGAAGTGATGGTCGAGGCAATTTTGTGGGATTTTTGTTTCTTTTCCATCGTTGGTTTCAGAGTTATCTCCCCTCGTACGTTGCACTTTGACAATACCTTGCTTACAATAGAGGTCGATTTCCGTGTGCATGCCGTATCATGGCACGTTAGATATGTTTAACAAGTACTTAACAGACACAGATTACTTAAACAACACGCACACCTACTCACACATGTACCATTTGATAAACAGTTTCAAAGCGTTATTGCAGTTACAGTTAATTTAATAAATCGCGCCGGAAGTTGTAAATATCTTTAAGATAATAGCAGTAATATTATTGCAGTAGTGAGTGTATAAGTCAGAGCCGATCTTGTTGTAAATAATCAGTCTGGGCCGGTTGTGAACACAAAAAATATATACTGAAATGAAATTGTGAAAAGATCAAACTTTACGGTTGACAAAATTTCCAGCAAACTGTTAGCATGCCTTTACGAGGAAACTGTGATCTTCTCATAGTTGAATTTTATTCTTCAAACGAGGCTGAATTAATTGAATGAATTCTCAAAACAGAGCACAAAGGTCGGTTACGGCTATCAATAACATTTTTAGAATATGATGATGTCATGAAATAAAATAAACACGTAAATATTCACCAGGATTTGGAAACACAACCACCACAGAATCTCCTACGTCAACCACTTACTTCGATATTTTTTTTAAACAAAACTAAAAATAACAGTTTCCACCAAGCTTTTTGAGATGCATAATTATCTCTATTTCCATATTGTTAATTTCCCTTTCCTAGGTAGTAACAAACCTACTTCCGAAATAATTTTGTTTTTCTATATAAAAATAAGCCGTTTCCCCAACGTGTGGTGTTTCCCGTCGCTGGCGATTCAATATTAGAGGACCTTTTAAACAGTTTCACGTCTATTTCCGTAAAAATATATCGACAGTTGGCAGACAATGAACAGCACTTGATAAATATAGATTCAGGTTTGTGTGTTTTGTCATCGCAATCTCATGGGGAAATATTTCATTGTGTGTTGTGGGGTGATTTTGACGCTATCAATATGACTGGAGGTTTATTTTTGCTAGTTCCTCATTATCATTTGAAAACGTTACATGCATTAATTACTTGGTTTGAATAGGATTTACTGGACATGTGTCGTCGGTGAAGCGGATGACGCTTACTCTTCCGAAACATCTGACTTGTTTGTTGCAGTTTCTCCCTGTAAAATTAAGGATTTTACGATTTTAATTGTATTTTATGTGAAATCTGCAGTTCCCTACCTGAGTTCGTTGCCATGGCAACTTTGATGGAGTTGGATTTAAGTCCTTCCCACTTGCATCTTTTTTCCAAGTTTCTCTGATCTTTGTCTTTGGCGAAGAATTCTCCGATATACTTGTTTTAGAAGGCTGGTCAAATGTACGCATCAGTCCTTTTGGAGTATATAAATCCGATGTGAATTTATTTGTATGATCATTCAAAGGAAGCGAAGACATTGGTCGGCCATGAATCTTAGAATTGACAGAACCAGCATCCAAGCTTTGTGCAGGAGGTTTGTCCCAGTATGATGAAGGAACTGTTTTTCTGTTAGAACTGGCATAACCTGATCCAAACTTTCCATCCGAAACTGATTCGGTTTTAATTTTATTCCAAGATGGCCTAACCATGAAGTCTGATTTGGTTTCGTTTGCAATGGCAGAATATTTCGTACCTCCTGTAATGGAATTGGTTGGTTTTAATTTTTTCTTTTCGTTTGATTTATTCAAAGATGGCTGTCCGCTGACATCTGGTTTAAATGCATGTGCCAGCATGGGGACATCTCGTGAATTCCGTCCCTGGTATGACGTCACTGAACCCTCCGTGCCTGGTGTTACCGAAACCAATGTCTGTCTGTCCGGGTTTATAGCCAACCGTACTTCTCCGAAATCCGGACGTGCGGAACGACCTTCGGTTTTAATCACATACTTTGATGAATACATCGTTTTTCTCTCTCACGACGCTTTGTTAATCCGACGCTCTGATACACGTGTTCTGTCTTTAATTCCAAACACAAGAAGCTACATGGTATGAAACACTCGATAAGGATTTAATAGCAATTTATACCAACACTCATCCAATTGTGGCGGAGTAAACAAAAATGGGAAAGTGATTGTTAGTCAGATTTGTTGTCACATGCTTTGCCCAAGTGTTCTATACATCCTGTTAGACAAGTACCGGTTTCACGTGACAGTGTTAAAACACGTATATATGTACATGTATATATATGATATAGTCACTGTGTAAGTATTTTATTAACGATAGTGTTTGTCAATGTCCAAGTTAAGGACGACCTTTTACCTCTAGTCATTGTAACAGTAACTTTTTGGGGGAGATTTCCACCTGTTGTACAGGTAACGTATTATCTGGTAGTGCAATGCAATCATTTATGTTATAAAAACGATACTAGTATACACGAGCATTACTACGTCATACAACAAACCGCTAAATAAAGTACAAATACGGTTTCCGCCGTCAGGATCTATCGCAATGTTTCAATTCATTCCGGTTTAAACTCAGCAAAGGAAATCTAGATATACAGAAAAGCTTTTAAAGACACACAATACACGCAAAATAAAGCTTTAATTGTCAATCACTTTTAAGTCTCCAGAATATTAATCAAATCAGTCAGTATCGGTATCCGTATCGGTCCGCGAAAAATGTGGTATAAGATCATGTTGATAGAAGTCAGGGCTGAACCTGCATGTCATGTTTTAACTGATTTCCTACAGTCTCTTCCTTGATTTCATTCTGTATAGGCCTTCAGCATCACTGACGAGTCCTAGAAGGACCAAACAGCTGTATGATGTAACATCACTGACGAGTCCTAGAATAATGAAACAGTTGTATGATTTATCATCACTGACGAGTCCTAGAAGGACGAAACAGCTGTATGATGTAGGATCACTGACGAGTCCTAGAAGGACGAAACAGCTGTATGATGTAGTATCACTGACGAGTCCTAGAATAACGAAACAGTTATATGATGTATCATCACTGACGAGTCCTAGAAGGACGAAACATCTGTATGATGTAGTATCACTGACGAGTCCTAGAATAATGAAACAGTTATATGATTTATCCTCACTGACAGTCCTATACGAAACAGCTGTATGGTGTAGCATTACTGACGAGTCCTAGAAGAATGAAACAGCTGTATGATGTAGCATTACTGAGGAGTCTTAGAAGGAGTAAACAGCTATATGATGCAAAATCACTGACGAGTCCTAGAAGGACGAAACAGCTGTATGATTTATCATCACTGACGAGTCCTGGAAGGACGAAACAGCTGTATGATGTATCATCACTGACGAGTCCTGGAAGGACGAAACAGCTGTATGATGTATCATCATTGACGAGTCCTAAAAGGTCGAAACAGCTGTATGATGTAGGATCACTGACGAGTCCTAGAAGGACGAAACAGCTGTATGATGTAGTATCACTGACGAGTCCTAGAATAATGAAACAGTTATATGATTTATCATCACTGACGAGTCCTAGAAGGACGAAACAGCTGTATGGTGTAGCATTACTGACGAGTCCTAGAAGAATGAAACAGCTGTATGATGTAGCATTACTGAGGAGTCCTAGAAGGAGTAAACAGCTATATGATGCAAAATCACTGACGAGTCCTAGAAGGACGAAACAGCTGTATGATTTATCATCACTGACGAGTCCTGGAAGGACGAAACAGCTGTATGATGTATCATCACTGACGAGTCCTGGAAGGACGAAACAGCTGTATGATGTATCCTCATTGACGAGTCCTAAAAGGTCGAAACAGCTGTATGATGTAGGATCACTGACGAGTCCTAGAAGGGCGATATAGCTGTGTGATGCAGTTTAATTCATTGCTTGGCTCTACTGTATCTGAACATGTATTGAAAGATGATATCAACTTGTGTGTCTTTTGTATAATCGTCTACCTTACCGTTTAGATACTTTTATAGTCCAATTTGTAAATATTATCAAATGATATTCTTGATCCCGCTGTCAAATGTACGTAATATAAGTGACGTTAAGTTCGAATCATCAACTTAAATTATTATTATTTTTTGTATTCTATGAAGTATTTATATACAAACGGCGATAAGCAGACTTAGAAGCTCTACAGAAAGACAATACATATGACATTGTCAATTATACAGTATAAATATATCAACATCATCTTTGATGATTATTGTCCACGGAAGATGTAGCTATTTATATTTACCCTTATAGTGCTGTCACACTGACATATCAAGGGTTAAGTGATAACCACTATGACTCGCTCCGGTTTGTAATCTTTAAGTAGGTTCGAGCTTAAACAGCTAACTCAGGAAATCAACATGATGATAACGGATACATGTTTACAGTATTATCATACATCAAATGAAAGCTTTGTCATATTTATTTCTTTTTATTAAAAAAGAATCCTAAGCTCATCATCAAGAAATAGAAGGCTAAAAAAAGAAATCGTCTCGTTGATTCCAGAGAATGAAAGTAACGCGTCACTATTTTCTGCAGTAAAAATCTAAACTCGACAATATTTACAAATGACTAGGTTATCATTACCTTGCAACTTAAAAGTTTCAGTGTCCAATTGCAGTAATCTATGTCCCCATTTTGGTATGTTTCCAACATCTAAATAACCTTTTCCTAACATGTAGACAAAGGAGCGTAATTAAGGGAATTCCTACGATCCAATACTGGATGCTTTTAGTGGAACATGTGTCCAGATTTATTAATAGAATGTTTAAGGTAGATTTCATTTCAAAATGACCTAGTTGTAGATTTGACAAAACACAACATTTTATTGTTCTAATCATTTGCTGACGTCCTGCGCCTCCTTTCGTGATTGTTAATAAATCCAGCAAAACACAACATTTTATTGTTCTAATCATTTGCTCACGTTCTGTATCTCCTTTCGTGAAGGTGTATAAATCCAGGCAAAACGCGGCAATTTCTTATTATTGTGTGTTGATGTTGTGAATCTCTTTTCGTGAAGGTACATATAGACACTAACATTCATGCTATCCCAACCTCTGGTGTTTACAAGTCACAACTGGGTGATTATTTAAACTGAATTGATTTATTTTGTCCTGTCGACAGTTATCAAAAATTCAAGGACGGCCTACTGTATATGCGAGGTGAGTGTTTGCGTTAAAAGTTTGTACTTTTGGGAGGATGTGACATGTCTGTGTAATCGTCCCTGCGATAGTTCAGAACTGATGTCAGCATTATAGTGCCACCTCACTGAAATACACAGCCGAAGGCCATCAGCATGACGACCCACAAGGTCACATCGTAATGTTATGCTACTAAAACGCTGAACGTCCAGCAAGAAGTACAATAACAATCCCCTCGAATCGTGAAGTTCTTCTTTCCTCGTAGTAACCTTGCATTCCATGTTTGAATTATTTTGAATCGTGATTAATTATATCAACTAATATATTTTTTTATATTAATCCTGTCGGTTAAGATTATTTCTAATCGTCTTCATGGATATGACTACTCGCATCACCCAAGAATAAAAGACAAAATAACACTGTCAATAACGAAGCATTCGTCCTTGTTTAAATCTAGCTATAATCAGAGTACAACACGGGCAATAGTATCTATAGGTAAGCCTTGAACAGTCTTACTCAGGAGTTTTTCCACGTAAATATATACAGCAAGTATGGTTTTGCCCTACAAAGATATCATATACAGATATCTTGCAAAACAGAATGAATGAATGAATCAATCAATCAATCAATCAATCAATCAATGACCATAACGGCCAAGAAAAAGACAGTTCTGCAGAGAAGGGTTACTATTAAATATAACGTGAAGGATGGTTGAAAACAGAAAGGGAGAACAATGGGTGGTTATTCAAGATGGTCGAATAGCACATTGGTAATGCACGTGACTTTTATCTATGTTTGGTGAATGTGTCACCTGCCTGATGATGAGAGTTTCCTGCGGTACTCCGGTTTCTTCCAACAGTAAGACTCTCTATCCAAACCAACATGAGTGGTAGTGTGTTTGACATTTATTTTAAAATAAATACAGTTTATGTCTATCTGAAAGTTTGTTTTCAGTTTTCTCTTTTTATCGTATAAGCCGTTCGTTCAACATTTTAACTATTTTAAATATCGATATGATTCAATATATTTTTGAATAGTGATGTAGCTGTTTTATATTGATCTTAATGGTCATTTTGAATTCAATCACATATTACCACTAGCATCACAAGAGAATACCAGAATGCTGCAGTTGTAATCATTGTAAAATGTCTATAACAGATTTTGACGGAGAATATACACAAATGTTCTTAACTCACAAACGACACATTTTACTTCACGATTCTTTGGAGACATGATTTTATGATAAACCTAGCCTCATCACACGAGGAAATCCAGATCCACTTACTATGTTAACTGAATACTGCTTTTTCTCGTCCTATAACATTTCGACTGATACCGATTTTGTCTGTTTTTGCTTTTTTTTTCCTGTTTAAGACCACGAGATCACTGACTCTATTTATACACTTCCCCGAGTTTGCGGGTTTCAAATGTCTATATTTGACTGTGGTAAATGGTCCCTTTCAACGCTGTTACATTTAAACATTAATTTAGTTAACTGCTTACGGCCACAAGCCTTACAACTTACCTGTCCACGCCTTGGTAACCTAGATGAACACCTGTACATTCGCCATAGGAGTAGGTTTACTTGTATACAGGTGCTTTGAGATTTACATCAAGTCGTAAATCGTTTAAGTTATTGTAGTAATAATACTTTCAGCTTTTAATTAAAGCACGTCATATTGTCACATAATCTCTCTGTTACGAAATATGGTAGGGTATATCTTTACAAAAACGTGATAAGATTTCCGTCTTTCTCTTTATTTTGTTGTTTACAGGTATATAAACCCTTATTGAAATGTAACAAACACTATTCTCTAGTTCTCGAAGATCAAACATTTCCCACAGGTTTTAAAGAGTTAGAATGGATAATGTTTCCAACCATTAGAGCACGACTTTTATAAGACCAAAATAGAATAGACTAT